AAATAAAGTTTGTTTTTACAATTTTTTTATATAAATTAATAATAAAAAATAAAAAATAATAAAATAATAATAACAATAATTAAAGTAGTATTTTTCATTGATTTTGTGACTCTTTTAATTATGGGTTTTCTATTATTTTTATTCAAATTAAGATACCCTCATTTAGGCACCAACCTCATAGATCACTTGATAAGTATATTTAATATCTTGACAATAATCAAAATTTGAACTATGGTTCTGTAGACTATAATTTACCATCTCCTATTCTAAATTGTACCTTTAAAAATGATTAAATGTCAATTTTAGTCCTTCAACTTTAAAATTTTACATAATTTTTGCCCCTCAACTTTTTGCACACTTTTTTAGTCCCTCAACTATGAAAAATATATTTTTTTAATCTTTTCATCAATTAGTCTATTAAATTTATTTAAATATGTATAATTTTAATTCATTAACTTAAAGTTGAAAAATGAAAAATATACATATATTAGAAGTGAGAGACTAAAAATGTAGATATTTAAATAAATTTAATAGATTAACTAACAAAATAACAAAAAAAGTGTATTTTTTATAGTCAAGGAACAAAAAAAAGTACATAAAAAAGTTAAATGATGAAAATTATACAAAATCTTAAAGTTGAGGGACCAAAATTGAAATTTAACCTTCAAAAAAAAAAAAAATACCCTCATTTACTTGCACTGTAAGGACTTTTTCCTCTCTCCCTTCCTTCTCCGTTTGCCTTCTTTGCTCTTCTATTTCCCACTTTAAAATCATCTTACATAATCCTATTTTCATCTCTCCAACTTCCCCACTGTTTCCCAATTGAAATCACTCTCTTACAATAATAGATCAAAGGGAACAATAAAAGATTGAAGAACATGCTAGTCTTGTTAATTACTATAAATTTTAGCCCTATTATTATAGATTTTCATTTTGTTTGTAGGAATATGCTAATCCTGTCATTTTTAGTCACATAAATGCTAGTCTTGAAATTAATTGTATTGATTGTTACTCCTATATATCTACTTTTTTTCTAACGTTCAACCATATAGATTTCATAGATTTTCATTTATTGAAAGAATCATTGTCAACATCTTAGCGAAGAACATCAGAATGAAACCAGTAAAATATTTCGTCCATTTCCTTTCACCCGTGATCTCTAGGCTTCCTTTAATAGCAATAGCTTGTTCTAATTGGCGGTGGAAAATGGAAGAACAAAAAAGTGTTTTAAAAAGTTGATTTTGAAGTAGGGGGATTAGAAGAGAGAAGAAAACACGATTCTGTAAACTAATTTTAAAGTAGGAATAGGAGAGAGAAGAACGCAATCGGAGACGGAAGGGACAGAAATAGTCTCTACAGTACAAGTAAATGAAAGTAATCTTAATAAAAAATAAAAAACTTATAATTAAAACAACTTTTTCTAAATAATTTTGTTTTAGATGAAATTAATGTTAAAAATAAAGTTTAATTTTATAATTTTTTACATAAATTAATAATAAAAAATATAATAAATATACTTTTAATACAAAATTCTTTATTAAATTTTAATATCTTAATTAATACTCACAAACATGTGTTATAGGGCACAAACTAAAAATTTTCAAAACATAAAACTTCATGATGGCAGACGAGTTACGACACAAGTTAGAAAATTCAAAACATCCTCATCGTAGACGACAAGTCTTGAATATTGACCAGTGTCCCTGTACCAGTCTAATCTGCAATATTCAACAATAGCCCTCTCTTTCTGGAGTGCCGAAGACGAAGACGTTAACTAGTCAATATATACTCAAAAGAGTGCCTTGTGGATTAGATTCTTTGAATTGTGGTTACCTCCATTGATGACAACAGGATTTGATTGACGGGACGGCCGGGGGGCGGGGCTGTATGGAGGAGGGTGCATGTATCCTCATCTTTCGTTTTACAATTAAAATTAATTTTTAATTAATAAATATCAATATCATTTCAAATATATATTAATTTATTATAATCAAATATTTAATTTTCATATATCAATTATAAACTTTTGAAATAATTATGATAGAACAATTTATTAAATCTTTATAAATTTCTTCTCTTTGAATCTAGAATTATTACAATTATATATAGCGTCAGGACAACCTATCACTTGTACACAGTGACAAAGGAAAGGAAGAATTCTTCTCAAGTGCGGTTGTCTAGCAGGGATATGCAATTGAAGAATGGCTTGTGGACTGGGTTCTTTGACTTTATGCCTCGTTGGTTTCTACACGTTCCAACCACGTTGTGGGTACCACCATTCATGTGAACAGGGTTTTTTTTTTTTTTTTTTTTTTGAATTGAATGGTTAAAATGTCTTTAGATTAATTTTTACAAACTCTAAATCTAATATCTTTTCAATTGAAACACATTTTTTATATCAATTTAGTGTATTTAAAGAAATTATTTTTCTTGAGTATTGATACTAAGACTTGAATCCTATATTTGTGCCATAAAAGCAATGTAATGTAAATATCTATGGGATGTTCAGGACTGGGTTTATGAATTCCATAGATGTACTCTAAGTAACAAGATGCATATAAAGCAATTCAGAATGATGTAACCAGCAGCAACCACAAATCGATTTGCTTGACTTCCAAGTGCAATGAGAATTCTAACTCCTACATACAAGACAGCAGCAACCACTAGTCGATTTGCTTGACTTCCAAGTGC